AGAGAGAGAGAGAGAGAGAGAGAGAGAGAGAGAGAGAGAGAGAGAGAGAGAGAGAGAGAGAAGGGGGGGGCGGATGCGGCATTTGCTGTCTTGAGTGTCTTCTAATTTACGCCCGACTAAAAGGGCTGTGTGCTTCGAGCGCTATCCCGGCGACTAGCTTGATTAACGAGGTTTGACCACGTGTGTCCCTGGGATTGGCATCATCGTGCGGCCTGATGGATTTTGTTTGTGTTGATGCTGCGACCGAAGCTGAGCTCTGCCGGTAGAAGAAGTGTGTGTGAACTCTGAAGGCGTCCCGCGCATATGGCAATCCGGCCTCTTGCATCACCAATAATTTGTTACCGTCCATCTTGCCCACGGCCTGTTTTTTTTTGTTGGTTTTTTTTTCCCGTTTTTGGGATGTAGTGTTTTCATTGACTGCTGAGTATTTAGAAATGCGTTTTTGGGATGTAGTGTTTTTGGGATGTAGTGTTTTCATTGACTGCAAATTATCCCAATGTGGACGGAAAACTTGCTCAAGCCGAACTAGTTTTATTGTGTTTTTGTTTGTTTGTTTGTTGGTTTATTTGTTTTCGTTTTGGTTTTGGTTTTGGTTTTGTCAAACTGTTCGTTGGATGTTGAAAAATGTATCCTTGTTGTTTGGTGGTGGTGGTGGTGGTTCTTTTTTTTTTTTTTTTTTTTTTTTTTTTTTTTTTTTTTTTTTTTTTTTTTTTTTTTTTTTTTTTTTTTTTTTTTTTTTCCCGTCATTCAAAGCCTTTAAGTCTTTCCTCGTCCGTGTAAACGGGATAATTTTGTCAGTGACGCTAATTTTGTCAAGTACTAAAGTAGCTAATTTTGTCAAAGTAGCTGATTTCGTTAGAGCACCTGATTTCGTCCAATGGCCGTCCTTGTGAATTCCTTGAGATCTGTGTGAGTATAATTGATATTAATTTTTTGATCTGAGGCAAATGGAGTTAATGGAAACGGAAGTCACAGGAAAGTCCTCGCTGTATAAGACTTTAAGAAGGTCCTTCCCCCCCCCCCCCCCCAACCCGCTCCACCCTCCTCCCCCTCCCCCCGCCCTACGCCCCCGGGAATAAGTCTTCGATGAAGTGGGATAGTGTACTCGGTGCTAAATTCTGCAGCGAGTCTGTACGTTCATTCATAATTGAATCACAAACGCACTCAAGATTACGACACCCTTGATCCCACATAGCACACGTAGTTGACCACATCGAATCTCGAAATTATCTCGAAAATGACGAAAGAATAAGCGCATGGTTACTGGGGGCTAGGTCCCACTTACACGAATTAGTATTAAGCGATATTGACCGTAGATAGGATAGCAAAGATCAACGGCCAACATCTCTTAATTCGTGCAAGTGGGACCTTGCGGCCGGTGGGTACCGAGACGCCACGCAGTACAAGCAATGCCATCCGAAGGTACGGCGGGTCTTGATTGCAGGAGGGGTATTTTATTTAATTAAGCACTTAAGCACTTTCTGATGGCTGCATTTGATTAGCTTGATTAAAATTTTCGTTACGGACTTGATTTCCACTCGATGTAATTCCGCGCTGATTGGCAGTGGCACCCAGTTTTATACATAAGAGTTCTGTTTTACGGTATATATATATATATATATAGTCTGAGAGTTTTCCATCTGGTGTGGGTGAGTGATAGTCTACTTTGATTTTGGTTAAGGTAGATTATCATTTACAGTGTAATCAGTGAGGGGATTCTGCAGACTGTTGAGGGTTCAGCCTCCTGATGAGTCGGTGAAACTCCGACGAAACAGTTTGTCACAGTGTGGGTGAGTGATAGTCTACTTTGATTTTGGTTAAGGTAGATTATCATTTACAGTGTAATCAGTGAGGGGATTCTGCAGACTGTTGAGGGTTCAGCCTCCTGATGAGTCGGTGAAACTCCGACGAAACAGTTTGTCACAGCCCCTCGTTTGTTGTCTTCTTCTCTCTCTCTGCCTACGGTTTACCGGGCAGTTCTGTTTGTGACGATATATATATATATAC